GAATTTAAAGTTGAGTGAACCGAGAATTTTGCGTTTATTCAAAACTTGAATCGAGTTCTGACATGTCTTATTTGTAAGGAGAAATTCGCGCACAACAAGAAGTCAAATTTAGAGAGACACTTTACAAGAAAGCACGCGTCATTTAGCACTAACACTAGAAGCGCCAAAGCAGTCATTTTGACTGCTTTCGTCATTTGACCTTGGATTCCTTAAAAACCCTTTATCTTAAGAAGTCACAAATTTTTGTATTTTCCTAAAATATGTCGAAAATTATTCGTACCAAATATAAATCGAATGAAATTAAAATGAACGGAGATATTTATTAGTTATACCTAAAAGCGCCACGAACAGTCATAATGACTGCTAGTAATACTAGGTAGATTTATATGGTATTCTCGTTCAGAAAATATTTTTCTTGGAAAAACAATGGAGTTTATGCAAGAGGAGCATATGGTTGCAATGATATGGATTATGATTTTTTGTGGAATAATACATGGGGGGGGGGTCCTCCTTTTTTCCGAGAAACAATGTCTCGCAACCGTTTTCGAGACATTATGAAATATCTAAGATTTGACTTGAAGTCAACTAGGACTCAGCGTTTAGAAAGTGATAAGTTTGCACTTTTCCGATATTTGGAATAAATTTATATAGAGCTGTGCGATTTCCTATAAACCAGGAGAAAATCTAGATGTGGAAGAGCAGTTATTTCCATCCAAAGCCAGGTGTAAGTTTATACAGTACATGCCGAATAAGCCTGATAAATTCGGTATCAAATTTTGGATGTTAATCGATGTAGACTCGAAGTATATGTGCGATGTTTTTCCATATCTTGGAAAAAATACATCGAGAAGTGAAACTGAAAGTCCTCCTGAAAATGTAGTAATGCGTCTTCTAAGCCATTATCTGAATTCAGGTCGAAATTTGACAACGGACAATTATTTTTCCTCACTATCATTAGTTAGAAGACTTAAAATGAAAAACACAAGTTTTGTCGGCACAGAAAGAAGACATCGCCAAGAAATTCCGCATTAAGTAAGGAAATCAAAAACCCGGCTATATGAAACAGTTTTGCTAAAGAATGGAGAAACTACGCTCACTGTCTATCAGGGAAAAAGGAACAAAAATGTCCTACTACTAAGTACCTTACATCCAAAGTGTAAATATAGACTCACAAAATAAGAAAAAGCTTCCAGAAACAGTAGAGTTTTACAACAAAACCAAATGTGGAGTTGATATCGTTGACAAAGATGACACGTAAATATTCTGTTCGGGCTACTTCACGTAGATGGCCTGTGCATGTTTTCTATAATATGCTGGATTTAGCAGGGACGAATGCCTACATTATCTACCATAAATTGAGTGATAAAAATATTACAAGCCACGACTTCCTATTTCAATTAGCAGACGAATTAAGAGAGCTTTATTTAAACAGAAGAAAAACCGCAAAATTGCCCCCAGGAAATTTCCAAATTTAGCAATAGACTTTCGAAGAAAAGACATCAATGCCAGATTGGACTTTGTAAGAACAACAAAACAAGTGATGTGTGTAGAAAATGTTCATATTATGTGTGTGAAAAATGCACTTCCAATATTGAAAAAGTTGTGTTTTGTAAAAATTGCGAAAAGCTGTAAAATGTGTTTTATTAAGGGTAGGCTGAAATTTATAATAAAATATCCTCTATTTTTTATTAAAATAATATATTATTCTTTAAAGTTCTTCAAAAACTGTAATTAATATTCTTAAAAGCAATATAAAGCATTTACATTTGAATATATACATTAATTCGTTGAGCAGTCAATTTGACTGCCGTTGGCGCTTCTAGTTAGGGAGAAAGCTTGGCGCTTCTAGTGCTAAATATCCTATCGGTGATGCAAGTAAGAAAGCAGTTGAGGAAGTTCAGAAGAGTCAAGAGTCGTCAACTTCTGTGTTTAATAACTGGATGCAATCTTCCAGCAATATTAATATGGCACGTTTTGTTTGTAGCCAAGAGATTGCTAAGAGAGGAAAACCATACACAGACGGCGAATACATAAAAAATTTGTTTTATAAATGCATCCGAAGAGCTATTTCGGGATTTTAAGAATAAAGCAGATATTCTGAAAAGAATTAAAGAGTTACCATTGTCTGACAAAACCATTAAAGATAGAACAATTAAAATGTGTTCGAATATAACCACCCAGCATATCGGAGATCTGGAATTGGTTTCAGCTTTATCAATAGCAGTTGACGAGTCTTGTGACATAAATGATACAGCGCAAGTTTCACTTTTTGTAAGATTTATGGCTCATTCAGGCCCTAAAGAAGAACTTTTAGGATTATTGCCACTCAAAGGTCAGAAACGTGGAGAGGATATCGCCAATGCTGTAATTGGGTGTATGGATAAACATCATATTCCCTCGATAAATTTGTGTCGATTTCAACACATGGGGCCAAAAGTATGCCCGGCGTAAGAAAAGGGGTTGTTGCTATTTTGAAAGAAACAATTAATCACGAGATACTTGTTTACCATTGTATCATTCACCAAAAAGCGCTTTGTGCGCAAACATTTCCGGAAGAAATTTGTAAAGTTATGGAATTAGTGATTACCATTATCAACTCCATTTTAGCTAAAGCTCTTAAAATATTTCTTAGCTAAAGCTCTTAATCATCACCAATTCAAAGTGTTTTTATTTGAAATGGAGAGTGAGTACGCTGATCTTCTGCTTCATAACAAGGTACGTTGGTTATCAAGAGGGAACGTTTTAAACGTTTCGCGTCCCTTTTTCCGGAAATTAAAGTTTTTCTCCTTGAGAAGGGCGTTCACTATCCAGAACTAACAGACGATCAGTGGATCCAAAACTTTTATTTCGTGGTAGACGTTACGTCTAATCGGCTTTATCTAAATCAGCTTAATCGTAAACTACAAGGGAAAGTAATAATTAATTTTTTCGATGTTGGAAGAAGTAATAACATTCAAAAACAAATTATCCATTTTTTCACAGGATTTTGAAAGGGAAACATTGTTTCACTTTCCGAGCCTGCTGAAGCATTGCCAAGAAAATTATTCCTCTATTGATAAACACCATTTTAAAACAATAATTTTAAATATGAGGGAAGCATTCCTCAGCAGGTTTCAGGAATTTAAGAACAGCAGAGCAACTTAAGCATTTGTAAAAAATCCTCTTAATGCTACGATAACCAAGTTGAAATTTTCTCCTTTTGAAATTAGCATTGGTAGCTTTGAAATACAACTGCTGGATTTAAAAAACAAGGAGATATGGCGCTCTAAATTCGAACGTCTTTGTGTTGAATTGGAAATATTGGAGAAGAAAAATGTGATCGTAGTTCACAACACAAGTGGTCTACTTTGAAATGACCATGGAGAAGGAAGATACTATGATCATTTTTCAACGCTTGGAAATAGTATTCCTGACTCATATGATCAGCTGAAAAAAGCTCGCCATTTGCTCTTCTTTCCCTTATTCGGGTTCTACATATATCATGCGAACAATCTTTTTCAAGCATGAACATTATTCAAGAGTAAACTGAGAAGTCATATCTTATTGATGATAACTTGGAATCATGCCTAAAATTTAAAAACAGCAACATACAAACCTGACTTACTCAAACTTTCCAAGGAGATACAAGCACATTGTTCGCATTAATAAATATTTATTAAGTATTAAATTTAGTTTTATTTAGTGTAATAAAAGTTTACTAAACAAGCAGATTTGGCTCCCAATTTTTTTTTAATTGTTGTAATGTTCATATTTGGCTCTTTGGCTATGTTTGCCGACCACTGCCCTAAGATGAAGAAATAATGAATTCAGATTATTAACCTCCTAATGATATTTAATGTATACGTCTACGCATTCCTCAACTGAGAGTGTAGCTTTGGTGATTTCAAAATACAGTGGATTTCCCCAATTTCAAATTTCTAAATTATGAACTACACAATTTTACGAACTATTGCCTTAGTCGCGATTATTTTATAATTATTCTAATGCAAACAGTGGATTTATAAGCTTTTTAAGCTGTGCTCGCATTTGTAAAATCAAGAATACACGTTAACATTTTCATTCCACCAAAAAGTGTACTAAATGATCATTTCATCTGAAAAGGTTCCCATTTCAAAGCTCACTGATACGAAAGGTTCTTTGAAATAACTACACATTTATCTGAAGTTCAAAAACTTTTTCTGGTTGAAACAAATTAAAGATTTGAACAAAGACTAATTTTTAAGTACGAGAGCCTATTTTTCCAAACTAAAGAGAAGGGGGGAAAGAAAAGAAAAAAGTCGCCATAAACCTAAAAAAAAAAAAAAAAATTCCGTCAACTAGTCTAATGTGGGAAATTCAACTTTAAGTCACATAAATTGAAAAGCAGCTCTGCATAGGCTCATGCAAGTTAAGTTTAACTTTATTAATTACAAAATAAGTTTATGAATATTTTTGTTTCAAATGTCAACTAATTTAAAAGGAATAAAATGTTATAGTATGAACTATCAGACATTTGATTGGAAAGAATGATTTTTAAATACGACTACAAGAGTTCCATTTAGATGAGTTTAATTTTTCTATAAAACGATATTATTTTGTTGTTACATTTTCCATAATTAAGAAAAAGTCAAAAATAATTTTTATTACTGTGATCTAGATTTTGGACTACAAATTGCCGAGCAATAAAATCACTGAACAGTGGTAGTTCAACTCGGGTTCAAGTTGTTGCGAACGATCTGAATGCTTGAGAGTTTTGTGGCTTTCTCCATGTGTAACGTAAATACGAGCCAGTTTTCCTCGAAAAGGTTTTGATAAAAGTATTTGTACCCTTAGACAGATAGACCTCGAGTGCCTTGTCTTAGTCTAAAAGATTTTATATAAACGTACGCTCGTATGCTATGAAAGATATTATGTATTTTTTAATAAAATTAATAAATTGTCTTGCATCATTTAAGTAAAAACATCCATTTAATAATGATAGTAATTCTAAGTTTGACAATTCTAATCTTTCTTTAATTTAGACGGAAAATGTCCTACTCCAGGCTGCAATGGCTCTGGCCATGTTACTGGTCTGTATTCTCATCACCGAAGGTAAGATATAAATATATTAACTTGCGTTTAAATTAAATATAGTTATGATTTCATTTCAACAATTATTGAATAACTAAATAGATGGTTGTGGAAAGAATAATATCAATTAATATGCAAGAAAACACAGTTTAGTTATACTATTACTTCATGTTTCAACTTACATCGAAATTCAGTGGAATAATCATATCGTAAAAGCTCATGCATTTATTTAACAGAATTTCAAACTTACTCCATAACGATTGATTGGACAGTCGTTTTCAAAGCAAACTCATACATTCAGTTCTGTTTTAGTTTAATGAGGTAAAAAATTAAAGTTACTTTTACAAGAAATTTTTGGTTCGAAAAGAAAAAACTGGTTTAGAAATGGCCCTTTTTGCTCAATAAATACTAAGAAATATTTATTCTATCAAAATTGAGTTTTCAACCCAATGCATTTTTCAATAATTATTAACGAATAATTTAAAAAGCGATTTATTTCCTAACAAGCGCTTTTAAATCATTCATTAAATTAGTAAGCAAATAATTGTAAAGCTATTATTTAATTAAACAGTTATTTAGAATTTTAGCCTTTACTATAAATTCTTCTTTCCATTTCCTCACCAGAACGTAAATGAGTGTAGCTAGTAGTTAAATTAGGTTTTGGAGTTTTAAGAAACAGAGTGCCCTGCGCGTGCACATTACATTTAGTTCCTGCCAGCTCTGGTAACTTGTAATTATGCAACTTTGAGTTATATCGTTGCTGGCACTTGAATCTGATACGTCGTCGTTGGTGTTACTGAGCCAGCTTAGCGTATATTTGAACTGTGTAGTCTAGGGTTACTATTCTACGTTTTAACTTAAATTGACTGTTCCTTTAGTTGCATCAGCACGAGCTGTGGTTGATATTGTTAGCACAATAACGTGCATTTATGTTTTAAATTGTGTTTGGAAAAAAAGGTTTCTTTAAACCTTTCCTTGATTTCTGTAGTTAATTCTGACATAGCGATAATTTGCTTCACGTCTCTTAGAGGATTTGGTCTAATTAACTTTCACCAGATCTAGTAAAACCCTATAAAATAAGCATTTATTAAAATGTACGCGTTCATTAATAAATTAACAAGAAAATTTACTAATTAAATATGAGATGAAATAGATAGATTTATTTTAACTGTCCTTAATATCCCATTTGAATACAAAAGAGAAAAAAAATCTGATCTTTTTAATTCTAAATGAAAACAATTGAAGTGAAACCGTAGATTCCGATTTTAAAATTAATAAGCTATGCTCTGGTTATATTGAACTGAAAATATATTGATTCCAATGATTTTTGCTTTTACAAATCAATGCCTAACATACGCAAGTTTTCATTTACTCTCTGTGAAATACTTTCCTTTTGCAATTCTTACGCTCAAATACTGGTACAAAATTTATATAAACTGATAAAAACACGAATAAAAATAAAGTCACAAAATGATAATTTATTCAGTGACAAGCATTTGAATATTAAATTAAAAATTATTTAAATATCTCACTATTAATTATTAATATATAAATTTATTTCTTCTAATTCTTTCTTAGAAATCAATTTTTTCTTTGATTTGAATGATTTTTCATTCCCAGGAAAAATACATTTAATTACCCTTTAAATAATTTTAACGGACAAAACATCGTGATTATTTTATGCAACAATCATGATAATTTATTATAATCATTAAAAGCATGATTATAATAAATTATAATCATGCTTTTACTTTATAAATGGAATGTAGAATGTAATTTTTAATTTTCAAATACATTTTTCATTTGACTCAATATCTGATATTGTAAATATAATATAATATTATATAATATATATAAATATCAATATTTACAAACAAGAATTGTTTGTTTACAGTTTATCAGGCTGCCCGAGGAAAGACAGGATAACACCTGAAAGTAAGTTTGAAATGTATTCATGTTTAATGCTTTTATGAAAATTTCTTTATTGTATTCCATTTCTCTTGTATAATTATATTAGCATTATTCTGCTTAGCAAAACCTTTGTGTATTATAAAGCAAAATTCCATTTTCCAAATCCTTATGTTTGAGCATTTTCTATATTTCCATAACTTGAACTACTTAAACTTAGTGATTAATAATTACATATTAGTAATTAAAAAATGTACACTATTAAAGATGCATTTTTAACGTTTAATAAAATGATTTTATTTTTAAATATGTAAATGAAGTTTATATCGGTGGTAAGTTCAAAATAGTTATGTAATTGAAAAACACAGATTTTAGTCAAAAAAGCAGTTTACACAAAATGATTCGTATAGTTTAAAGAAAGAAAGAACTGTGGATTAAAGAAATTATTAAAAGAAGGAACTTTGCTTAAGGAAAGAACTTTGATAATCTATTTCAAATCATTTCAATATCAATCAGGATGGAAAATGTTTTAACAATTAGATCCATAATGATAAATTCTGTATCATCATTATGTAATTAATTAGCTGCGAAAACTTTAATTCGTATAATCAAGTGCTTATTGTTAAAACTAAATATTTAATGAAATATAAGCATTAAGTGATGAACAAAAGCATTTATTTTCGTATCTTATAATGCACATAACTTTCAAATACAGTTTTTGTTGTTATGAAAATTGAACATTTTAGAAAATCACTTAAGAAAGAATTATTTTAACTGTCAATTAAGCAGTTTTCTATTGTACTCCAGCTTAAAATATTTTAACTCTTTTTTTTTCTTCTTTCTTCATCTATCTTTATTTCTTATTCAACTATTGGACTTTCTTACCTTCTTCTTCTCTTTATAGTTTTAGCCTTACATGAGACAATACTGAAGTAAGTTAAGTTTTCATATTGTTATCTATTTTGTTTTAGTGTAAATTTACTTGTGTCTTCAACTGAAAAAGACACATCGTTTACTTTGCTTTTGAAAATATCTTGGATGATATTACACAGTAATTTAGTGTTTTTAATGTAAGATTGCTTAGAATTACTTCTTTTTTTTAAAAAAAAAATGCATGATGTAAATAATGATTTATAGAACTCATATTTACCTGTCTTGACAGCTGATCATAGAGTACTGCCTATTTTATAAACATTATGTTATATCTACAACTAGTTTCCATTTAAAATATTAGAAAATTTTTGCTGAAACGTATCATGATATCTGAAATGTTTAACTAATATAATGTTAGTCTTACAAATATCAAAAGTTCGTTCCTATGTACCGTTTTTCTCATCAGCAACGTACATTTGATTATCAAAATGCCATGCTTAATAAATGTAAAAATCATAAATTGAACATTTTGTAAATTCCATTAGCTACTTACCAATCAAAAGTTTAAGCACATTGGTAATAAATATGTTCCTGAAGGAAAGTTTATCGCATCAAGTCAAAATAATTTGACGCCTTTCTCTGAAGTAATGAACGCTGAAATTTAAATTTATTTAATTTTGTATTTTAACGCGGATATTGTGTAAACGCTGGTACTGATAATGAGAACATTCTAGGTATCTTTCAAAATAAAAATTTCTCTTTCAAGAATTTAAATGAAATAATTGCTCAAGAAAGTATGGAAATATACCGATATCTCCCTCAAAACTTAAGCTGAAATACGTAAGGAAAAATATTATTATTTTTATATTGTTATTTGATTCAGAAGTCAAACAACAAAAATCAGCGTTATTTCACAAAATTAACGCTGATTTTTGTTGTTTGACTTCTGAATCAGTATTTATTCGGCGTGTTATTGTGTCTTAAATATTGTTATTTGTTAATAATTATTCATTGCTGTGACTTGTCTCACTTGTCTGATAGTAACATTAGAACAAGTCCACGAAATTCAGCGTGGCAAGGAAAGCAAGGTTGCGCCTATCTTTGGCAAGAGCCTTGGTCACCATATAGGTGGTACGACCTCGCTCAGTTCCGCCCCTAATTTTGATGGTTACACCCCGGAGAGACGGATCTGGGGGTCTCCCATCCTTCATCTCTTGTCACTAAGCTCTCGAGAGGACTTTCGGCTCGACATAGAGTGCCCCGATGCCTCAAAGACACTGTACATTTACAAACATCCATGCCTTTTCAAAGATTCGAACCCAGTCCCTTGGGTACCGCAGTAGACTCCCCTAATCAATATACCGTCTGGACGGCATATTGTAATACCAGTTTTCAGTATTGTGTGGCATAAACAATTTAGTAGAACTTTCATGAAATAATTAAATTATAACTTTTGTAAATACTTATTTCATAGATGCTGTTATTTAAGTGGAATTTATATTAATTCCACTGGTAAGGACTATCTTATGCTGCATATTTCTCCCAATTTGATTTCTTTAGAATTATTCAATTAAGATTATCTGGTTTCAAAATTCTTTGTTTTAGTGGTTTACCAATTGCATAATTTTGAAAATTTGACAATAGTTAACTCTTACGTTTCATGTCAAGAACCCGGTTTTATAAAGTTTTCCGCAGTCTATTGCGAGAAGTTCTGTTATCAGTGCCAGTCTCTTTAGCATCAATGTTCGAAGCATCTTAAATATTTCTTAATTCCCCGTGAGTATATAAGAGCTCGGAGCAAGACAGGTAGAGATGCGGTTCCTGTGTTTTGCAGCGAGAGGAAGCTGAGGTCGCGTATTCTTCTTTAGGTGTCCCACCGATGGATGTAATGGCAGAGGGCACATCAACAGTAACAGGAACTCACATCGAAGGTTGGTATAAGACTGCCCTCATCTGAAAGTCATCAACTCTGCTTTTGTATTGCTAAAATTTCGAAAATTTGTCTACAAAGATTACTTCATGATTTGATGTCATAACGTTTTACTAACATTTAAATTTGGCATAATGTTTGAGAATTCTTATCTACTCTCTTTTGGGAGTTAGATTTAATTTTTTATCTGTAATAAGATACCTTAAAACCGACCTTAAAACAGATGACCGTTTACCTTAAAACAGACAAATAACAAATAAAGTGATTATTTTAATATTTTTCAGTTGGAACTAACAGAAGGATCATATTACATTTTAGAACATGTTTATTTCAGTTTAAATGGAAATTTGACAGTTTAAAATATAAATTTACAGTTCCATTTGCAGCAAAATTATTCATTCTATAAGGTGACTGTATGAAAGTTCAAACGCATTTTTTAACTAAATTCTAAGTGTCAGATACTTTAAAACAGATAACATTAACAACTGCTTCCAAATTTTTATTTGCTATTCAATTGTTTTAAATGTCTTTTTTGACTTGTTTACGTAATGACATATATATTGCTGGCCATCCAAAATGTAACACAATGCTTGGTACCAAATATCATATTTATTGAATAAATAATTTAAAGGGCGAAATGATAAAAAAATTATAGCCTCTTCCAGCTTGTTGAAAATGAAGATATCAGTCTTCATGTAGCCGCCATGGGTGGAAGTAACTGCAGCAACGAACTTCGTATTTGAAAGCAAATGGCTTTGAATTTGTGCCTGGATATGTTAGATCATATTGTTTCTACGATCTTCCGAAGATCACCTGGTGTAACGACTCCTTCGCGGCTCACAGATTTCAACCAAGAAGCTTTGTCAATCATCGATCAGACATGCTCGATCAGCAACATATCAGATAAAACGAGCAAGCCACAGCCGCGGTGTGATCTGGTGGACAATGAAGAACTGCTGAAAGGTACGTGGTTACGTGCCGTCGAGCAGTACCCGGCTGAAACTTGATCACAGGCAAACCTTGAAGGATATATAAGACACCAAATCCGCATAGATATAGAGATAGATGTTGAATTTGCTGACAATGTGCATTAGTCAGGTACGGAAGCAAATCCCGGTGGCACCTCAAGCTATAAATGCATGTGAGAAAGCTCTGTGGTGATAATGCAAGGTCATGATGTCACACGCCTGTGGTTCAAAATTAACAGTAATCACACTAATTGACATATTGTACATATTCCTTTCTTTTGCAGACAACTCTGAGTAGTACATTTTGTTAAAAGTTGTTATTCAAGGGTTCGTAATTATTGCATTCAGATTCTTGATACTGATGTGCTATCTGTCATTGCCATGCGCGCAGTGCGACTGTCATCTTGTTCGATTGTGGCATAGACTATCAGAATCGTTTCAGTCAGTCGTTTCTTTTCGCTGTTATTGTGACTTATCGCACTTGCCTGATAGCAACATCAGAACAAGCCCACGAAATTCATCGGGGCAAGGAGTGCAAGATTGTGCCTGTCGTTGGCAAGAGTTGTTCCGTTCCTCTTGCAAACGCAACACGTACACACAGATACGTGCATTGTGGATAAATGTTGTCTTACAGCACTAATTTCTCGGAAGGTTAATACTCAGTCGGCATAATTCGTACTTCGTCCGCTGTAAAACTCAGAAACTCTCTCGAATGATCTCTGTTCTCTCCTCCCCCGAGATTTATAATTCCCATGCAAAAGAAAAGCGAGAAAACAAACAGTTACAGTACTTAAAAGAACTTCTTGTTCTCTCTTTTCTAGTGCTTATAGGTAGTGTTACTAAGTTCATGTGATTTGTATATACGTTTTAATGTTAATCTTTTACATGTCTTATCAAGATCTACTCAAAGTGCATATTTCTAGCTTGTACGGTTTTTTTTCTTTCCGGTGTTGCATTTCGGATGGCAAATAATACACATACACACAAACAAATGGAGTAAAGAATATGGTTCAAAAATTTATTTCAAGAATTTGTACTCTAAAATTAAAAAGAATGTTCAAATAATGGCTAAGATTCTTGCTTCGTGATAGTGCTTGGAAATAAAGTCTGGTAATTTTCTAGTTAAATTTCATCTAAAATTACCAAGCCACTTTTGTCATTAAAACTTACGAGTACGGGTGAAATAATACTAAGTTTTAAACGAAGTGATGTCAACGGCAAATATGAATCTCATTTTATAGAATTAAGTATTTATAAGGTGTGTTCTAGATACTGACCTTCCGAAAATTAATTATTTTTCTGTCAAGTAAAGATGAGTAAAATTAAAATCTTCTAGATCGTTTATTTCAAAAGTGAGATTTTATGAAATTAAGTTGTCCTTTTTCTCTAAACTTAGTTTTCTTTAATATGAATATATACTTATTCAGAACATAAAATGCGCAAACAAAATTTTATTTACGACAAATTTCATAAAACCATACATAAACCTACATAAATCTTTTCCTGTTATATATATATATTTAATTTTGGAATTAATTTATTTTATTCATAATAAAATATTTTTCGACAATGATTAAAATAAACATTTAAAAACTAGTATTTTTAAGTTAAATATGTGTGATGACTAAACAAATATTTCACATGGTGTGTGAGGGTGAGACGGGTGAAAGCAGCGTTGTTTTTCTTTGTTTCATAGCTTATCTGGTTGTCCCATTGCCGCAATGGAGAAAATGGTACAAAAGGAACAAAGAGCTACGCCAAAACCATCACCCCCAGTTGGACAAAGTGAGTATAAAAGTTTTCTTATTTTTTCGTAACTAAAAGTTTCTCTTAAAATGCAAACTATTAAAACTTCAAATTTTAAAAATTACAAGTTTTTCCAAACTTGTCCAACTTAATTAAACTGTTCTTGTCACTTTACAGATACAACTGTGGAATTTTAGTTATTGTTTACTCTAAATTTAAACCTCTTTACTCTTAGTAATGATTCAGAATTAGAAATTACCTGCACGGTTTTGCCTTTAACAGTCATCATTGGAAAAATAACACTCAGATTTAAAATACATCTATGATACTTGTTAGGATCCAAAGTTTACAGGATATAAACTTAATAGAAGATACGCTTCTTAGAGATATAAATCAGATTGATTTTATATGTTTACACATTTTTTCCTACTTAATATAATCTAAAATTTTAGAAGGCAGGAAGCTTGAGAAGTTTTCTACAATTTTTATTCATTTGTACTATTGGCCGCCCCGTCAATCTCACTGTTTTTTGTTTCTGCATTCATATCGAAAATAATTCACAATGCACTGGTTATCAAAATCTACAGAAAAGTTTAAAAACTGGATCCGTTGTTTCTGCATGAATTGCCAGTACGAGTTTAAAACGATGAATTAATTTTGTACCTACTACTTCTGCAAATTAGGAAAAGAGTCATCACATTTTTACCAGTGAAGGAATAATGAATTTTTTATTAAAATATAAAAAGTTAATGACAATTGCTTATTGAAAACTAGGCATAATTTTCAACACTGAAAGATGGCCTCCATCTAAGAAAGATAATGCTGTTTGATTGGTAGGATATGAAAATAATTCTTTGTTATTATCTGTTATTTAAGAATCTTACTGTTATTATAAAGAAAGCTAATGGGCAATGTGATTGCAGTTTTTTTTTTTTTTTTTTTTTTTTTTTTTTTTTTTTTTTTGTATTACTGTATATCAATTAAAAGAATATGGTCCACTGTATACTGATTACTATTTATTATCCCGCATGTACGTTAGAAAATATATATATATATATAAAAGTTTTAAAATATACTCAGAAATATGTTTTACTTTTTTGAATCATTTCAGTTTTTTAAATTCATTGAACTCAAGTTCCGCCATTCCCAAATCTCCTCTCCTTTACTGTAGTCTATTTAACACATATAACCGTTCCTAAACAATCATAAATAGATCTTAGATTAAATTTAAATGGGCACTTTTTGTGGATAATCTTTTTTTATTTATTATAAAAAAGGGCGTTTTTGTAGATAATCCAGTGTAATTTCTCCAGAAATTCTGAACTTCACGTAACCCAAGTAAAAAATGTGAAAGCTGAAATAGCCAACAATCTAGTGATAGAACTACCGCCAACCCACTAGTGAGCATCACTTCTAAATCTACCAAACAGCACTTTCGTTCCCGTTTTAAAAAATCTGTCAGTTTGAATCAAGTAAGGCTTAATATGAAACAGTAGAAATTAAAGAAAAAAAACAGATAAATAAAACTGTTTAAAATTTTAAAAAATTACAATAATTATAAATATTGTTTGCATATGCATCTGTATTTTATAGAATGAAATATATATTTTTTCTGCTTTTACCGCAGAATTTTAGAAGGAAAGGGATTCTGAAATTTTATCTAGAGTATCAATGAACGTGCAATTCTTTTACAAAATTAAAATTTATCACGAATTTCCCTGGCAGTTATAAAACTGGGCATAAATTAGTTTTATAAATTGAACTTAATGAGCATAAAGTTGCTTTATTAATCGGCTTTTCTAAAATCAGTGCTAATTTAAGTTTGATTATTTTTTCCTGTGACATGTGTCTCTTCCACACATTCCTTTTTGATATTATGAGAAGTATTGTTTAAGTAATACTATTAAAAATATGTAAAATAAACCTTAAAATGTGCCTAACCAAACAGAAAATCATGCCAATATGTAGAACTGTTTCTTTTTTTTTCTTTTTTTATTTGTCTGTGTATGTGTCTTGTATATCGTCGTGCATTACTTATATACAAAGGGAATTCATTTATCGTATCTTTTTTTAGCTGTCACTGCGCTTTAACCGCATTAGATGAATAAAATGCATGTCGGTGAGTTCCGTGTTCGTGTAGCAATACATAGCGCTTGAAATCCGCACGGAGAATGACAATTTACGCTAGTAGACTGCTTTTATCTTTCGCTTAATATTGCAGCATCTAAACGAAACCATTGCTTATACCCATTCTAATACAAAATCTGTTCATTTCATGCCCTTCTGTCTGATTTTGCATTTTCCCTAGTTATTATGAATCACTAGATATGGAAATATAATGTTGTTTTCAATTCCTTGATTCGGTTGTTACTAAATTTTCCACTCTTCGTGCGAAATGCATAATATCTAGATTTTATAAAAACGGGGACCTACTTATTTCGATTTAATGAGACGCATTTCAGAAAGAAAAGAAACCTCTAAAATAAGAGCCTTATAATAAATAAAACAAAACTCAGCTTGCATAACAGTTTTTTCATCACATAGACACCGAATCATTATATCATTATAACATAACCATCATAAAAATAATTCTGAATCAATTTATCGCTATGAACAAACCTAAAATGCTCTTTAATATACTCGTATTTCATATCACTTTTGCACTGTAGTAACAAGAACTAACTACACTTGTATTTCTGTAAAAAACAAGAAAATACTTAAACAAACTTATTTTTTCCAGTTATTTGGTTAAATACTGACATCTGGCTTTAGCAAGCGTTATCCTTTGTTTATTTATGCTGTTTGAATCAGCGTATTTTTAAAATGCTAGAGCTTGCTTTCTGAATATTCTACATAAATATCATACTTGTATGAGTAATATTGAATACTGTTCGACTATTATCAACTATTACCGCCTAGCCGTAAATCACTCATTCATTTCCTGTCTTTGACCAGATTTATTATAAAACCTTAGGCATAATAATCAATTTTACTGGCATTTAAATACCAGTTTATAATCAAAATCGTGAATCAAGTGTATGTACTAATTCTGAGTTATTCAGCCCAACTTAAAGAACGAGAATTCTGATGAGAATAAATATAACATAATGCCGGTCTTAGAAATCCTTTAACGATAACAAATAAAAATTTACCGCTGTTCGCTCAATTCCTTTATGAAATAGTTATGCGTCAAAAGGGTGCATATTTATTGAGAAAAATTAATGTCAAAAGCTTTTACGATTTGTTAGCTTTCATTTTTTAACTACACTCGATTCTTTTACTGAATATGCATCTAGCAGAAAACTAATGTGTATTTAAATTAATCCTGTTACAAAAAATGACTGTAACACGCATATAAAGATTTTTTGTATTTTCATGATTTCAGTATCTGCAGACAATATGTGGATAAAAAGATAAATATATGTAACTACTCATACAAAACTTTTTTGGTGCTACACTGTAAGTTATTTTTAACTAGATGACAATCTGAGTATCTTTCTCAGTGTCATGAAAAACTTTCATTAATTTTACTATTAAAAATTTAAATTAAGCACTGTGCATATCAAAGAATTCCCTCAAATAAATTTATATAATAAACAACATGATAAAATAGTTGGATACGTCTATGTTGCTTTATTTAATTAAAAAATATTTACATCAATTAGTTCTTAAATATACGAAAATGTTTTTCTTACACTATTTTGATATAATTTCATGTTAAATAATCACGTGAGTAACATTATTATAATTACATGAGCGACATTTTGGGTTAATCTCCTTTATAGTGAAAGCAGATTACTGTCATTTTTTTTTATTTTATTCATCATGAGCTTATTATTGTTATCTTCCAGTTCCCTCTGGTCCGTCATCTCCTGACTGTGTTATGAGGACATTATGTTACGTCAAACATACGGATATGCCGGACTATAGGTATCCCATGTATGGACAGCCCGTTCGATCTCCTATGGATAAATACGGGCGATCACAAACACCAGACTACAATTCATATGACAGTCAAAGGTTTTACGGCAGGCCAATGGTACCTAAGATTAAATCAGAATCACCAGACGGGCAGACGATGATGAATAAATCAAAGTAAGGAAATTTGTTTTAATGCTGTATAATGAATTATTGCCATTAATGTAAAATGCTCTTGGTGTAATTATATGCAAAAATGTTTAAAAACAAAAATATTTCCTTCTTGTGTCCAGTAACTTATCATGAGAAGGCTAACATCATGAAATAGGTACTGATACGAAACAGGTCTTCTTCAACAAGTTAACAATGACCACATTTTGATGCATGAAGTCAGAGTAAGCCGCCCAACCAGGTATAGTGGTTAGATGTCCTCTCGAGAAAGGTGGTGGGAAGAGTGGTGAGAGATCCTCGGACCAGTACCCTCCGAGATGCTCTCCATCAAAATTAGTCCTATTAGTCCTATTAGACCATCATCATGTCATAACACAGTGCTAAAAGCTGGTGTAATATTCCTAATTGAAGTATTAGGAACTAAAGATCGATGAAATGCTGCGTTATTTTGTTATAAGATAGCGGGTTCTTATAATAATGACTTTAAACGAAACAGAGGATCCTGTAAATTACATTCACTACAAAGCACACAGCCTTTCTAGCCTGAATAGTATCTTGCAGTTTGGAAGCTTCTGTGATATCAAGAGATACTCCTTTTACCCATTTCCTTTTAGAATATGTCCATGCATTTATTCTGCCTTAACACTGGTTATGACTTCATGCAATATTATCAAACTGCTTTTAAAATTCGTTGAAAAATCATTACGACAAAGCACAACACCGACTCCTTCGTTGGCTTATGCCTATATGGAAAATGTCATGAATGCAGTATGAATGATAAACTCTTGATACCATAAACGTGGGAGAGCAGAATCCCTATCTGACCTTTTACATACCATGATTTATCCTACCTCCCGGTTATTATGACATTTTCGAAATCAACTAATTTTAGACATTCTTCCATGCCCAGCGCATATTTATGTTCATGCAACTTTAGGTCTAGTTTAATTGCTATTCTTAATTATTTTCGGCTTCTCATTATGTAATCGAGGTTAGAATATATAAGATCAATGAAATTAATGATGTTTAGTTATGTTAAGATCTAAAGCAGTGCATTTACGTTATCTTAAATTAATTTTCTTTTAACTTCATGTAAGTATGTTAATTTATTAGCTAAAACAAGTGCATCCTCTTTTCTTTGGCCCATTATCGAAAAACTACTTAATCCATTAGTTAGATCATAAGACTAGCTAATTAAAGTATATTTATCCTTAGTATTTCAATACCGATTAGATACCTTTCTAAACGGTACAATTAATGAAACGAACTAGATAATTTCAGAGAAATGTATGCTTTCTTGTAACATCAATTAATAAAAAGCTTTTCAGCACATATCTTTTTTAAGTTAAAAGGCTTTACTTAAAATAATGCTTTTCTCTATTTTTAAAATATGATTATACACTGATGTGCAAAAATTAAGGTCGAAAAATTAGCATATCAGGTGAACGAAGAGGCAGAGCGGACAGAAAGACCAATCAGGAGATTAAGTAAGGTGATGTACGGTAGCACATGCGCAGATATGCAGGTAGACGTAATGGGGGAGTGTCTGAGTAGTATAAAGCATGTTGTCGGCGTAAGATCAGTATTTCTGGCAAAGAGATTGCACGCCGTATAGCAGTTAAAATCACACCGAGTTGCTGCCTCAGCGAGAAATGGTGAATAATCAATCTGTTAGACGACATCTGGATGCTTTTACCCGAGGTCGAATTACTGGGAAGTTGGAGGAAGGCCGCAGTGTGACAAGTGTGGCTGCAGAGTTCGGAATTGCTCACAGCATCGTTTCACGACTTTGGAGACAATTTCAAACTACAGGAACAGCTATCTGGGGGTTTAGTAGTGGTCGTCCACGAGGAACCACAACCGCAGATGACCGGTATATTGCCTTACAGGCCAGAAGAAACAGACGGCAGACAGCGGAAGAAATCGCTAGACACACGACACAGGCGACTGGACGACCGATATCGCGTTTTACCGTGGCCAAAAGACTGCACTGTGGTGGTCTGTTTGCACGACGCCCTGTACGGTGTGTACCTCTAACGCCTGCCCATCGGAGAAGGCGTTCTCTGTGGTGCCGGGAACACCGGAATTGGAGAGACAATGAATGGGGACGAGTACTCTTTACAGATGAGAGCAGATTCAGTCTGAGTAGCGATTCTCATCGCATACTCATCTGGAGAGAGCGGGGAAGCCGCAATCATCCCTCGAACATCATTGAAAGGGACAGGTATGGAGGTGGCGGTGTTCTCGTTTGGGAAGGCATCATGCTTGGTAGTCGTACAGACCTTCACATCTTCGACGCAGGTTCAGTCAACGGGACCCGTTATTATAACGAGATTCTTCTTCCATATGTGCGTCTTTTTAGAGGCGCTATGGGTCCGCAGTTCCTTTTCATGGACGGCAATGCACCATATCATCGCACAGTAGCTGCCGAACAGCTCTTAGAGAGTGAGGATATTGAACGTATGGATTGGCCGGCACTATCTCCGGATCTCAATCCCATCGAGCATGTATGGAATTTCTAGGCAGACGCTTGGCAGCTCGTACCTTACCACCAGTAACGATTCCGGAGCTTCGATTGGCGCTGCAAGACGAATGGGCAGCAATGCCTCAACAACTCATTGACACCCTCATTCTCAGCATGGGCAGACGCTGTGAAACCTGCCTAGCAGTGAGGGGAGATCATATTCCCTATTAAAGACCAGATGTTTCTTGCTGGACACCCATCACAGGGATGTTTCGGCCTTCAGTCGCATTGCGCTCCATGCTACTTTTTCAATAAAGCTTCTTTTTATCTCTCTGATTTCTCTTTTAGTAACATTACTCATGTCCTTACGTATTGGGGATCTTACGGTATTAAATATGTTGATTTGGAAAGCTTTTGTACAAAGTTATATTGAAAAAACCGTCTCGTCCTTAATTTTTGCACACCAGTGTACTGCATTAAATAAAAAGTATTAAATCTAAAAAAAAATGCTTCAAAGGAACTTGTAATTTCGGAGCTGGGAGAAATTTCACTTTTCTTCACTTAAATATTTTATTAAAAATATTATTACGTTTATTAATTTGTTTAATAAATACTTTATATTTAAGTTACCTAACTAATACGAAGTTATAACCAAAGTATAAATGGCATAAATCTTGGAAATATTAAATGCTTTAAAGTTAATTTTATTTCAGAAAGTGTTAAATGTGCAAATAAAATTTAGCAAGATAAACTAGAGTAGATACTGTATAAGTTTTTAATTGAAAACAATGCAATATTTTTATGTGGTAGTGTTTTAAAATTGATTTGTAATATTCACATGATACTGGTTACACCTTACGCCCACCAAAATTAATGATAAGACAGCAGTTTCAAAATTTTGTACTCGAACAGAACAGAAATCATTCAAAACACTAAATCATTAATTCAAAACGAAAGGTATTCCTTCATTTACATGTTTCGATATCTCTTTCAGCCTGCCATTGCCCTCCATGTGTGTTGGTCAGAGGAATTCCGTTGTGGTATCATCAAAACAAATATATTCTCCACCTCCTCCACCAACCGGTGATTCAGAGCAGACAGAACCTGTCGACTTCTCTACCGGACATGACGAACGAGTGAGGCCGGACTTAGCCGGACCTCACATGTTACCTAATCCCACACCTTCACCCTCACCCAGGTCGCCGGCCGCGGGACGGTCTCCCTTGGATGCATCACCACACTGCCCCCCGCAACATGCCCCTTACCCACAAAGTCCTCTAGGACCACCCCCTCCGGCGGATAGGATACAGCATCATCATTTGATGCCTTCACCTCCGGAGTATGTACCAGAAAAGTAAGACAGCACTCTTTTTAGCTAATAAATTAACATCATAATTGTATTTAAAATGCACATATAAATATTAGTTTAGATATGAAGATAAGTTGAATGATAAAATAACATAAAGTTGGGGAAGTTGGGGAACTTTCACAATTTTAACTACAGATTCATGATTACATGCTAAAGAATTCATTATCTCATATGATACGTAGCACTGGATAATATCTGTTCGTTACTTAAATGATACCTTGAATTACAGATATGTTGTCTTATTAAACAAATGACTTCCATATCAAGCAAATGCAAAGATGTAAAAAATGTTTCAGATAATATTGACTCTATAATACTCATACCCTAAGAAATTGTCTCAGCAATTTTTATTATTTAAACATTTATTTTTGCGTACTATTTTGAATTAAATACACTCATGTCCATAAATTAAGGATAATTCGGAGTCACGCGGAAATCGAACTCTAAAATAAATATATCACCTGTAAAATCACTACACACATCTTCAAGAATCATATGCAAATTTCAGGAAGTAACCAGATGTCACCGATGGTACGTCACAATGACGAGAGTATAAGAGAGTGATATATAAGGAATACAGGCAAAGAAGTAAAATTGTTCGCAGACGCTTTATAAGCATTTCAGTGCAATAATCGAATAGTTATGACACAAAGGCCGCATATGGATGATTTTTTACGTGATAGAATTATCAGCCGTCTGGAATGTGGGCGTACCCAACTGGAAGTATCAGACGAACTTGGAATTGCCCAGAGTGTCATCTCCAGGCTTTGGCAACGATTCCAAGATGATGGTAATGTGAGTAGAGGTTACAGCACAGATCGCCCCCGAGTTACAATGCTGAATGAGGACCGGTATTTGGCAGTTACTGCCAAAAAACAGGCGGAGCACAGCCTCACACCTGTCTCATCAGCTCTCTTCAGCCACTGGTACGACAATTTCAAGGCAGACTGTGTACAGATGCTTAGGGCAGATTGGTCTATATGCTCGTAGACCTGTCAGATGCGTTCCACTTACTGCAACTCACTGTCGCCTGCGGTTAGCCTGGAGTAGAGAGCATGCATTGTGGACACCGCAACATGGGCTTGTGTGATGTTTTCCGACGAGTCCAGGTTTAGCTTGCAGTCTGATTCTCGAAGGACTTTCATATGGAGAGCTCCAGGTACCCGTTACCACCAAGAAAACATCATTGAACGACACCGTTACGGTGGTGCAGGAGTGCTTTGCTTGGGGTGGAATTATTCTGGGTTTCAGAACTGACCTGCATGTTCAAATTGGAACCATGACAAGACAAAGCTATCGGGACGTCATTCTGGAGCAACATGTACGTTTGGTTCTGGGCGCCATGGGCGCACAATTTGTGTTTATAGATGACAACACCCGTCCTCACCGTGCAAACATCGTAAGCGAATGCCTTCAATCGGAGGATATCACCCGTATAGACTGACCAGCATTCTCACCGGACTTGAATCCAGTACAGCACGTGTGGAACATGCTTGGCCGACGAGTTGCAGCCCGTCAACCTCCTTTTACATGTCTACCGGAACTTCGGAGAGCATTGCTTTTTGAGTGGTGTAATATCCCCCAAGATCAGATCGATAATTTGATACTCAGCATGCCTAGGCGTTGTACGGTATGTATTGCATCGTCTGGGAGACATACAATGTATTGACAATCATACCAATCATGTAATATTGGTTTTTTGTAAATAGGTTTTTTTTTTTGTAATTTGCTCCAGGGAGAAAAATTGTAATTTTTTTAATAATATCAAACATACAGCATCTTTTTTTGCTCTTTACCTTTTGTTTAATAAATAAGCTTTACAAATAAGTCAAATTTGTTTTGCTTCTAACTCTTCCTTTGCCTGATTTTGCATTATCCTTAATTTATGGACATGAGTGTATTATAAGAAATATGATATATGACATTTAAAATAAATCTGTGAATAGTAACATATTTATAACAAAATGAAGCCTTCAAACACAGATTTGCAAAATATCAGAGGAATTTGACAGCAAAATTATGTAAAAAAGCGAACGTATTGCTCACATTGTTGTATATTGCTTTGAAACTGCCTTGTTTTCCTAAGGACAGTGAAAAGAACGGGATAATGTTTGCAATATGTAACAATGATACTTATAAAGATAATATTCATATCCAAGTCAATACTGGTATGAATTCTCTTTGTCAGTAACGCATGTTGAATACCAACGTGAATGCGTTCAATGAAAGAAAAATTACAGTTAATACTTCTAATGTACTTTAAAATATTAAAATGTGTTGTAAATCAAAATTTGAAAGACATGAATAGGGAAGTCCCAATCATGAAGAAATGAAAAAATAGTAAATTTTTTTATGCACCTAAAAAATTTGAACAAGCATTTCTTTAATATTTGCGATTCAAGAAAAGATTCAAACTAGCCATATTTCTTCCAAGTAGCGAATTTGAACCGTATGTAAATATTGATGGTTAACGCATCAATAATGTGATTGAAATAGTTAAAAGTGACTGATGTGTCTTAATGAAAACTTTCTAAATTGAAAATTTTGCATAGTATTAGGATTCTTCAAGATATTTTCATCGATATGAATTAAAAAAGTAATTGTGTACGAAATAAATCAAATATTTGACTACGAAAACATTAAAATTTCCATGAAATAACCCGAAGAAATTTCTTGGGTAAAAACATGCGTTTGATTTCTTTCTTTTAAGCCTTATGTTTGATGTCACACTATTATTTGCGCGGTCATCCCCCTAAAATGACTTGTATAAATCCAGCTAATATAGTTTCAAGGGTCTAGCTAGTAACTAATAACTGAAATGAATCTATATATTTTGCTTTTAAATCACTTAGTTTGTTAATTAATAACAATAAATTGGAAAGAAAAATTAAATATTACCTTACACTTTGCTGAACGACCAGCCCCTGCCGCGTGGAAGATAAAAAAAATTTCAATTCAGTAATACCAATAGTTTTCTTTCACATTGCTGAGTTTATTGATTAAATTCGAAAGAAAAATATATTGAATTTTGCCGAGAAACAATACACTTCTTTCATATCACCGATTTGTCTGATTAAATTTAAAATAGCTTACGTTTTGCTCAGGGGCAGCAAGATAGCATAAGATAATAAACATTAAACATAAAAAAAAAATCTGAAAGCTTTCAGATTTGACATTACGCCCAAAGAGAATTTTGTTAACCTTTCGTGTGTTACTTTTATTTATTAGTGTTCTTTGCACTTAAACCATAAAAATTCAGTTCAATAGCAATATCGCAAAATAATTTTATATCTTTAGAATTTCCGATACACAGTCTCGCGCGCTGGAGATAAAATGGTGTTTTTTTTTTTTTTTTTTTTTTTTTTCCCGTACAGTTTTGCCATTGCTTTGAAGTGTTACAAAATATAATAATCGATAATAAACAAAATATCGATAATAAAACAAATTCCAAATTCCAAAGTAGGGCTTCCAGATCTGATATTCGGTGGAAGATTATGCTATTCACAATTTGATGGCTCTAGGTACCGTTGTTTTATCGCAATGCGAGAAACTTTTATACATTTATACAGATTCTTCATTATTTAATTTCTTTAGCACATTTTAATTATATATTATTATTTAGTGGCAGCAATTTGAAAAGAGAACCAACATTTAAAGTTTTCAATGCAAAATTCCAAAACGAAATAATAACCCCTTTGGGCTAAAAACGGCATTCTGTTGCTTCGTGCAAAATTCTGTAACAACTTTTGAAACCACGCATTGTAAATATAAAATCATATTTTCAAAATTAATAATACTATTTGAAAAGTTATGAAAAAATGAACAGCTTACAGAAAACACAATTGACCAATAAAAAAAATTACAACTTCCCTTTTTCAATCTAGTGTAGTTATTTTTGAAGTCCTAATTTTGATTCTAAAAGAATGACTGTTATTTGCTGAAATTGAGATCAGGGCTAAAGTTCTGAAGTTGAGATCCCTGTGACGTAATTTTGAGTTGCTTCTAGGCTATTTTAAAAAATATCTTTCACAAACAAAGCAGTTACCCGTGCTAAAATTATTGCTGACAAAATAATTATCTTGTCCCAAATTGCTAATACTGCCGTCATCCTTCGACTGCTAGTTACTGTGTTAATAACTTCAATTTAACTAAAAATTTGAAAGATTATCACAGAAAAGGAAGGTTAAGATAAGTAAGATGAGAATCAACCTTATTCGTCTTATTCGTTTCTTTCAAAGTTCGTTTTTATAGCTGGGGAATCTGAGACATGAATGGCTGAAAGCAGTTTAGTTAATGTTTTCATGTACACCAGCGGTTCTCAACCTTTCGACCAACACGTACCATCTAAATAAAAAATTGAAAACTTTAATACCGCCACAATATTTTTCAATGATTATTTTTCAATTTCTTAATAGAAAAGTTATAAAAAAGTATATTTTGCCATTTGCACAGCCTATTGACTATTTGTATTAAATATGGACACATAAAAACTATTAGATTAAAGATTGGTTACCATTTTAATTATCAAAATTTAAGTTATAATCCTTTAATTCTAAAATTTATTGTAAATTTAGGCCGGTTTATGAGAGATCAATTTCTTTAAGTCTGGTCTTATTTCACTTAGTTTTGACCGCAAATTAGGATCCACTTTAAATTTTATTTTGCATTTATTTTTCAAATATAACATGGAAGAAAATCCTTGTTCACACAAATAGGTCGGGCAAAAAGACAGTAAAAATTTAAATCAAATCAGGTTCAGGCAAATGTTAACAAGTGTCTTATTGTTGAAATCTTCAGTTAGGAAATTTTTATTAAGTTTTTTTTCTTCACGAAATTTTTTAATTTATTAGTTAAAAATACTTTGGCGTACCACCTGATTTTCTCTTGCGTATCACCGGCTGAGAATCGCTGATGTAGATCATAAAACTTAGACTAAATAAAAAGACCTCATAAGTCTATTAAACTTTCATTAAATAAAAACAGAGATTTAAGTGACTGTAAAGGGCATATGATCATATATATTAGATTGTGGATCAAATGTGAAAAGCCATCTGGAAAACAGAAGAAACACTTTCTTTGACACTCATTAAACAGCCACATTATGCAGTGCCATTATCATGAGGGTTTAAAATAAATGCATTATAGCAACAGTAAAAGATCTTACTTCACATACGATTTGGGGTTTTTTCAGCATATGGAGTATATCATAGGAGGACAGGAACATACAAACACATCGGCCGAATACATAATTGTGCTTGAATGAAAATCCTCCCTTCAGCCATCAACATGTTTTGAAACAATGTTTACTTATTTCAGATTGATAACGAACTATGTCATTGTACCAGCATGAACATTAGCCTACAGTTTTCTTCTAAATCAATTAAAACATTATAATGGACTAATTGTCAGACCTTGAGTAGTATACCAAAGCGATGTACATTAATAGTTAAAGAACAAGTGTTTTCAATTAGATAACCATATTCTATGTAACTTGAAACATATTTAAAATTAACTTACGAATGTAAAATGTTTGATAATTTTCAATTTTATCTCATTATTTTCTTTAAAATTTAAAAACTTTGTAATTTACAAGAATTATAAAAAAAATTCTTATAGTTTTATATGTGTATAGTATATACATTTTAGTTTTAAATGTTTATAGTGTAAACTTTATAGTTTCATTTCCATTTTCTAATCCGTAATATTTACAACAATACTGGAGTTTTAAATCATAAAATTCTCCTCAAATAGATGTATTATTTATTAATGTTAGCATTAAAAATAACTTTTCAAATGCGTTTGCAAAATGCAAGTTTTCATTAGGCGTTGCAAAACTTTTGCACGCAGCTGTTTTTAACGAATTTTCAAAATAAAATTCCAACACTGATATCGTTTTGATTGCTGGGATAATTATGATATACATCCTACATCATCTTTGTATTAATGGAAGATAACATTCGCTATATTTCACAAAGGATAATTTAAGTTCCAATTTAAACAATTTTAAAATTTCTAGTATATATTCTTGGATAGATCAATAAAAAATCCTTCACTATTGTTTTATAATTTACAACAATCATCATACAGAAATGTGAGACTAAAAATATAAGACTAATAGAAAGGTTATAGTATAATCAGAAATTAGGGTGTCATCCAGGCTGAGGATCGCGTATTTGCTCCTTCACCTGCCAATAATTTCTCATTATGTTCCCCCATAACATCCGCTAATTTTTGATGTGAAAAACATCCACTACAGAGCTACTTCAACATATAATATGAATTTCATTGGAATAATTTTAGTTGCTATGGCTATATTTGGCAATATCTCTTTCTTTAAACGTAATTTAACATATTTGTTAATGCTAAAAATTATGTATAGTCGTAATACATGTTAACATTTTAATATAATTCCCGAGTTTTAATGTATGCTATAAGAGATTATACATTTTTGCAACGTAATTTGTTTACCTGTAGTGAAGTTAAAACCTCACACCGCTGAAAGTGGAAACTTAAAAGAAATTATGAGGGTTCAGTTATTAAACTACCGTTTATTAAGGATTTTCTCAATCTGTGATGGTTTCTTGATTTAAAATATTAACTCCTCATACTTGATTATTTTATTACATTAATACATGTTAAGAAGCATATTTTCACTTTTTGTAATATATTTTATAATTATAGCAAGTGAAGTTTTATTTATTTATTTTTATTTTTATTTATGTATTTATTTTATTTTATTTTATTTTATTTTATTGAAGAAACGTTTTCTTAACACAAGGTTACTTTTTTCATTTACAGATGCATGCAGCCAAAAATGAAAAGTCGCGGAAGGGAAGGACGGGAATTAATTCATTGCCCTACCCCCGGATGTGACGGCATGGGACATATATCCGGAAATTACGCAACACACCGAAGGTAAGAAAAAAAAAGCATTAATCTCGATAATTAAAGCACTAGAAGTGCTCAGTTCCCTATATATTCTTTTCCATTTTATATGATGTATTAAAATATAATCCAAAGCAAATGATAAGTGAAATTACAAAACAATGTTTCACAAACTTTTTAAGGTAATGAAAGAATTAAAACAGTTTTGAGTTTTTGAGGGGGGAAATGCACAAAAATTATTACAATAGAAAGGAGGTTAATCTAACGTGATTTTTTAAAATGTAGATTTATTAATTAAAACCAAATTATGAATGCTCTTTGTAGAACAGAAAATTTTGATATACTTAGATTAAAATTAGCCCTTCCTCAAAAAAAAAAAAAAAAAAAAAGACTGAATTGATGTAGATTTAAAGTAAGTGCATGGATTTTAAGGGCAGACATAAGTAGCTCTTCTTTAGAAGATAAAAATTTTTATCATATGCACAATTTTCGTTCTTAAGAAAACAATCTGAGAATTTAGATATATTATTATGAGATTGATACCTGAAATGAATTTATATTTCAGGAAACTACTTCTCTTATGTTTCACGATTAGTCTTATATTTATTAGTATCGGTTTGTAAATTAGATACAGTCTTTTTTTGACTATAAACTAATATTCACGTTATTATTAACACATACTGAATGATTTTCGCATACGAAGTACAAATTACCCTTAAGATAATTGCTACTAGTTTTCAAATTTATTTTTGGTACCATTAAATATTTTTACTATGATAAAATTATATATTGCATCTTTAAATTTAATTAAATACGTTTTTATTAATACACTAATTTCGAAATTTTCTATGAATGTTATAACTGTATCTGCGACAGAAGGAAGAAGCAAAACGTTTGATAAACAAATAAACAGACTACTACTGAAAAATCAATAGTAATATTTTTGTTTTAGATTATGCGTGCAAATATGCAAGTGTTAAAAACAAAAGTGCAAGCGTAAAGTTGTATAAAAGAGTAATAATTATTTTACTCACTAATTTCAAGACCTTCATTTTCAGCCTATCTGGTTGTCCACATGCAGATCGATCTCAAATTCAAGCCCAACACCAGGAATTAAAGTACGTATAACTAGAAGTGGATTTTTAAAGTAGAAATTTTAAATAATTATTCTGACTTGCAATAAAAGAATTTTTTAAAGATAAAAGATGCTCTTTTTATAATTTTGGACAGTGAATTAAGAAATGGCATTAAAAATGTTGCACCGTACAATTTTTCTTAAGCTTAATTTTATTTTATTTCATACTAGATATTTTAATGTTTATTTTCTGTAATTATAAAGCGAAATTTAAATTCATTGTGAAGAAATTTCATGAACGAAGCTAAATAGATAAACAGTGAATTAAGTATTTATTACACATTTAATAATACGTTATGAAATTTATATATTTGTTTAACTTATTATTACTTTAAGAAAAACGTTTTAAAGTAGTTCATCTATGTAACATGTTTTCATTAGATGTTCATCTACATAACATGTTTTCATTAGGCGTTCATCTACATAACATGTTTCCGTTACGCGTTCATCTATATAACTGTTAGCTTTTAAAACTATTCAAAGTTCAAAAAACTTAAGATTACTTGAATGAATTGACTCACACAATACATAAAATAAGAATACAAAAATCATACATAACTAAAACTTTAAATTTGCGGAAACTTTAAAATACTGACATCACTCTTCGATTAGCAGATTTATTTATATTTATTTCTAATATGAGTAGAACAGTAGGATAAATAAAAAAAAAACTTTAGCACTAAAACCCTTAGCTTCTAATAAATTCCTCCTACAAGGCAATAAAGCAATTCAAGTTAAGGTCTTGTTAGCAGAGAAAATTTCTTTTACCTTTGCTTCATGGAAAACTGTGTTTAATAAATTTGCAAAGGCTTTAGAAAAGGTCGTTATTAGTTTTATATACGTAAAACAGATTCCATTTCTTATCAGAAGTCAACGTCAAGATTTTCCTTTATCTAATAAAAGAAATATATTTTATTTCGAAATTTAATCATTTTTATTTTTTAAAGCTGCTAAATATGGTAAACTACTTCCCTTAATTTCAGGATCACGAATTTAATCCTGGATCTCCGAGCTAAATGTATATTTTAAATTTTACCTCTCATATTCGATTGTATTAACAATGTAATTTTTTTCAATTTATTATTGCAAATATTTCTTCTAAGTTAATTTGAAATTAACACTCTATTGTTTCAAAGATGTAACTGAACTTACATCCCTGAATTACTGACTTCTTTGATGAAATTTTGCATCATTTGTCTAGAGTTAAATGATGCAAAATTAAAGACTTCTGCGATATTTATTTTGATTACCTTCCCCACACAGCATTCCTATTGAAAGTGGCAAAACTGCAGTCTATTTCTATTTAGAACTTATTAGAACTATTTAGAAGAAGCGTATTAGGCTTCAAAATGTCTGAGTTTTTGATAGAATTGCAGCGATTTTTAGAGGGTATTTCTCTTGAGACCAGAGTTATTTTTCTTACAGGTGAAAAAAGAAAACGTAGCTGTAGCGGTAGATAACTTGTAAAATACCTGTTAGCTTTTAAGGAATGTTGGAAACATAATCTTTTTCTTATAAGCACTTGGTAAACCCTTGTTCCATGTCTACGAATGACTAAAAATTTCATTGCGGCTGTGCCATCAGTTCCAATGATGATGTCTTATTTTAGTTGCTAGATTTGTATAGGCCTTATTGAAATAGAATTGTAACTTCAAAATTCAACATGACAACACATTGTCTGTGGATGTAAAATATAAAGATCCCAGTAGCTACAGTTTTTTTAATATGACATAACTTTCGAAAAAAACTGGCTACAGAAAATCTAACTTTTGCAAGTGAGGCAGGCTTCATGCTTGCGTCATCTGCGAATTAATAGAAGTAACTAATTGAAATATAGTTTCATCCAAATGATAACAGAATAATTAGCACAAATCTGTGTTCATCACTGCTTCGAAAGATGTGTAGAGACATTAGGATTTTTTGGAAAAGCCGGCAAGATGAAACATTAGCAATCGCCTTCCCCGGGAATCGAACCACGGACCTCTGGAATACCGGCCCAGAGTGCAGAACCACTACACCGCGAAGGCCCGCCAAGAAGGTGGGAGAAATACCATATATACTCCCCCTTTTAAAGGGCAACTGGGGTTTTTAGGAGACCCAATCGCCAAATCCTAGGTGAGGAGAATTTAGTTCGGGTGCCACTGTAGAGACATTAGATATTTTTTGGAAGCAGGCAAGATGAAATTTGAGCAATCTTCTTCGCCGGTAATCGAACTGCGGACCTCTGGAATACCGGCCCAGCGTGCAGAACCACTACGCCACGAAGGCATGCGAAGAAGATAGGAGAAATACCTTATAGATGTAATATTGAAATAATTTCTTAAAAATTAAGTCCAAAGCTTAAACTTAATGCTATTTAAATTTTAAATCACAGTCCAATCTCATTTGACCAAGAAGACTTACTGCTCAGTGATGTTCATGCTTATTATGTCCAAGTTTGGTAGTGAACTGAGCTTAATCATGGAACACCATGTTGAAAGCGTCGGTAGTAATTCGTCTTCATTATAATGCAGAGGGAAAAGGTTTGATATAACTTTCACACATTGTAAGCAGGACTCTCTCAATGTTTCGACCTTGATTGCAATAGTTTTCCTTGCAAATTTTATCTTAAATAAACTATGAAATTTCTATTTATAAGCACTGAAGATTCATACGCTCATATACTTTGCTAAAAGATGTGCATTTTATGCAGGTAATGCACTATGATAAAATATGCTTCAAGGCATTTCAGTATTCTTGATAATTGATGAAATAACGAATATATCATGTGCAATAAAATGAGTAATACTTTTCAAGGCATTAACTATAGCTTTCTGGATTTAAAAGACGAATTAATTTCATAAATGTTTGTTACATATTACGGGTTATATTTTACAGTTTTTAATTTATGAAATTTCCATTTATTTCTTATAAAGCTAATTTAATAACTTACAGTCAGAACTAGTTTTTAAATTTTTCATTTATTCATAAAATTCCAAAATAATTGTTCTTTGATAGTACAAGTTAATTTATTAACATATACAGTATAAAAGTGAAGAACCTTGGGTATCAGAATTAGTTTTCTATAATAATTTGATTTTGCTTTCGTATGATATACTGTCACAGGAAGATACTGCTTTTATAAACTGAAGTATTCCAAATGCTTAATACTCTAGCTTAAATTCTAAATTTTTATTTAGTTTCGTTTGCGTATAATATTTTTTCAAGTAAATGCAACTTAGGCAATGATATCCGTGAAAGCTATTTATCGTATCAAACTAAGTATAATAATAAATAATATACTCAATACGGCGTTCAAAAATTCAAAATTTTACATAAATATTCAGAAACTTTAATACAATTTTCATATTCATAATTATATTATGCAATTTCTATTAAAATTAAGTGTTTTAAATATGATGATATGGAACTGCATGAAATAATAAAACTTTCTTTTCTAATATTTCACTGTATCTTAATATCCTTCTACAAAAATTAATGACTATTTAAAAATAAATTCGGTATTTCTTAAATACCAATGCGTTTTAAAGTACCTTTATTATATCGTATAATGAGAATAAAACGCTTCTTTCCATAATTTAAAAGCAATGTAGTGTTTTATAGTTTGGTAACAAAAAATTAAAATTCATCAATGTATATGAATGACGGAACTGGACACCAAAAATACTAATTGAGGAAATCAAATACTCGCGAACTACACCAAAAAACGATTTTACTGAATAATTAAAATAATTTAAATACGATAAGTACTATTAATACTGATTTCATTTTATCTAAATATGAAATAATATTCACTGTCACGTTATTCGTTTCTCCTGCATTATTGATCATTCATGTAAAAATTATTTGATTTCAGCAGATTTAACCTTTAAAATACGAGTTCAGTGTATCTTGCAGTTTTTTCATTAACAGTATTTATTATTATTATTTAGACCCAACTTGTGCTACAATGAGAAATCCAGTGGGCAATGGTATAGGTATCCAAGCAGCCAGCATGATAAATCAATGTCACCAATTCTCAGGTATCTCTATTGGTGGTTACTATATTTTTAATCAAGTATTTTAAAGCAAAAATAATACTGTTTATAGTAATATAATGTGGTACTATTCCGTTTTAGGGACCGTAAAAAATTGCAGCGAAAATATATGCGCAAAAGCGCCAAATCTAGCAAACGCGCTCATTTAACCGCTCGCCAAATCTAGCGAACGTGCCTAAATGCATAAATTTAGAGTTCTATACTTATAAGTCGCCATTGAAATTTTTTTAATTCTTTTCTAATAACGCTATGGATTTAACAATTAGGGAATTGCCCAATGACGAAAAGTCTGCAATAAAGAACACGCATCATTTATGATAGAAAATTATGTTCGACAACCACGAGATGAAATTATGCTTTAGCGGTAACTCAGTAGCAAAGGCGGTACAGGAAAGAAACCCGTAATGAGAGGAAAGAATTAAGAAGTCGAAATTGGTTCGAAGGATCGAAACTCTCCTTCCTTGCAACCGTTAGGTTCATCTACTTTTGGTGTCAGAAGATGACATCTATTGAATTTTCTGGACTCCAGGTGAAGATGAACCACAATACAACTGTAGACTGGAACAGTTACATGCGTGAGCTGTGTGCGTAAATTTATTTACTCGGCCTAACTTGAAAATCGGCGGATGGGGAAAAATTATTGAAGTAGACGATAGCCTTTTCAGTAGAAGAAAGAGTAACGTTGGACCCACAACGAGCTTTCGGCGGCCTATGCAGAGAATCGAGTGAATGTTTCTTCTTAATCGCTGTTCCAGAACGATCGGCGAAAACTTTATTGAACGTTATAAAAGAAAATATCGCAAAAGAAAGCATATTTTAGACCGATTGCTGGAAATTATACAAGTCGTATGAACTGCAAAATGCCAATTTTGAACATTTTACTGTCAATCACAACTACAATTTTGTGGACCTCCGAAAGTGAGTGTTATAGACAAACAGTAGAGCCGTTGTGAAGCAGTGCTAAAGGGTGTAAAGTTTATGTACAGACGCTTGCACAAAAAACTGAAATATTCCCTGATATGTTGGAAGACATAAAAAAATTTACATCCTTAGTTAAATTTCAGGAATTCTTAGCCTTTTGTTTATAAATTATAATAACAAAAAATGTATTTACATGAAATTAAGCTTTCATCTAAACTGAAACAATAATCTTAGATAGTTATTTACTATTATGCTTCCTTTCTTTCTTTAAGGTTACCGTAATTATTTTTGCCAGCATTGGCATCAACAGTAGTTTGGCGATTTTTTACGGCCGTTATAACGGAATTGTACCTATAATGCTAATACAGATATTCGTTATTCATTTGTTGCTTTACTTTCTGGGCAAGCTATTTTCAAGTTACACAATTCTTTTTAATTTATTTTCTATTCATAACATTTTTTAATTCTAAACTAGCATCTTGTCTTTATTTTGATATCAAATGAATTAAATTTTCCCTAATTTTGTTTTATAAACTTATTTCTCTGAAGTCTGACAAATTTTCTTACTATGTTATTATAGTTTTAATCTAATGTCTAAAATAAAATATAATAGTTGAATCTGCTTAATAATTAAAATTTAATCAGTTTGTCTTTGGAAATTATATTGAACTGTATAGAAAGGCCAAGAATGGTTTCATATAATTTTCAATAATTGTTACAATAAAAACAATGAAGCTTGATATAATGAATTTTATTGTTTCCTTATAAGAAGGCATTAGTTTCATAAAACGACGAAACGAAGAATTAATATTTGCTGAATAGCAGTGGTTCTCAACCTTTTGACTAACGCGTACCATCTTAACAAAAATTGAAAACCTTTAGTACCACCACTACAAAGTACTACTACCAACACCATTCTTGAGCAAAGCGCAGATCGCATAAATTTACGAGTGTTAGAGAAAAAAACTTAATCAGGATGTTGAGGTTTTAATTTTTGAATTTAATAGTTAAAAATACTTTGCTTCCTTGCGTACCACCTACTTTTCTTTTGCGTACCACCGGTTGAGAATCCCTGGTTTATAGCATTTTGTTGAGGGCATTTTCTAAAGAAAGTTATTACTGCGAATACATGGAAGTAAACTCAACACACATTGCTACTATAATAGTATATACTGTACGAAGAATTTGGTGGACCTATGTCTAATATTAGACTCTAACAGTTATGACATGAAGTGGATCGTTATATAAACTAAATTTGTACTGAACCATAATGTACGAATACATGGAAGTAAACTCAACACACATTGCTACTATAATAGTATATACTGTACGAAGAATTCGGTGGACCTATGTCTAATATTAGACTCTAACAGTTATGACATGAAGTGGATCGTTATATAAACTAAATTTGTACTGAACCATAATGTACGAATACATGGAAGTAAACTCAACACACATTGCTACTATAATAGTATATACTGTACGAAGAATTCGGTGGACCTATGTCTAATATTAGACTCTAACAGTTATGACATGAAGTGGATCGTTATATAAACTAAATTTGTACTGAACCATAATGTACGAATACATGGAAGTAAACTCAACACACATTGCTACTATAATAGTATATACTGTACGAAGAATTCGGTGGACCTATGTCTAATATTAGACTCTAACAGTTATGACATGAAGTGGATCGTTATATAAACTAAATTTGTACTGAACCATAATGTACGAATTCAATTATTTTTAAGTCCAGGAAGGACAACTTCTTCGTATGTTAAGAGCAACAATCAAAGGGATGGCCAGTCCGAAGTTAAAAATTCGCAGCCCACTCTCATGCAATCGGCTGTAGACAATATTTCGAAAATGAATACCTTTGACGGGTATATGTTTCTAAGAAAATTATTTTCTATAGTTCTTCTTTGTTTGAAAAATGAATAATTACCATGTTTAAAGGCTTATGCTGAATAGCTAAGACTTTAACGTTTTTCAAATGTCTGCCTTTTATAGGAATAATAATTCTTAGAGCACCGTCATCTGCGCTTAAAAATAGTCATATGAATTGTCATTTGTAATCCATGTAGTTACTCTACATAATAATTCGAGGGTCACTCTCAAATTCTCGAGATACAACTATATGGTACAAGTTAAACTTACCAAATCTTATGTGTTTTCAGAGTGGCTCCCTTCAATATCAATGTACTTATGTAGGTGAATTTTCCAAAGATTAAATGATTCAAACTATCCATTTCTTGTAATCGATGAAAGATATCCTTTTATCACTTCGTTAGTCTCATCTTCGGAATAAAAACGAGGGCCAAGTAATTTTGCTTTAGTTTAAAAAATAGCTAAAGGTCACAAATAGCAAGATAAGGAGAATGGACAGGATTTTATACCACTTTGATTTATTTTTCTTCAAGAAATTCGACTGCCAGTCTTGTTGAATAAGAAGATGCATTATCGTGATGAAGCATGAGTACCTTACTATCCACTTCTTGAATAATATCTAGAAGATACTTTCTGGTGCACCAGCTATAACTGTCTTTTGTACCTCTAATGTGAAAATTTTATTAGTCCTAAACTTCTGAAGAAAACAGCATACTTTACTTTTTTCATTGCTCGTTTTCTTTTCACCGTTCTTGATTATGTATCATCTTCAAAGATCCACACTTTACTTTCTTGATGTGTTAGAACGTTAAAAGACACCGATACTGATACGCTTCAACTTTTGGTGTTGTGTTAATTTATGAGGAAGCCAACGAATTAAATAATATCACAAAACACATAATTTAGTATTTGATTCGGAATAATGAATTTTAATTTAATATATTTACTTCAAATTCATGTCATAATTAGCTTCCTCACCAGATTTATACATTATAAATTTAGTTTTAAGTTTAATTTATCAGCCCTCAAAAACTTTCCGGTTTTTTTGTATTGCAAGGTTGGCAGCCATGCTATTTTCATTTTTAGTATAACAGATTTAGGTATTTTATAATATCATTATTTTGTTTGATGAATAATGAAGTCCCTTTGCAATGAAAAACATTATTTTGATCATGTTTACATTTCATTAACATAATCATTTCAAAATTATTTTAAGACGTGCCAGAAAATGGAATCCAAACCTTCATGCCAACAAGAGATTGCATGCCTTCCAGACTGCTTGAAATCAAAATGTTGAAGATGGAATAGTATTGTTAAAAAGACAAGCACGTTCATAACAAAATGTAGGCAAAATTTAGAAGTAAATGATGCAACAAAATAAAAATCCTCTAGGGAGAGTACTAAAAGCAGTAAACGGTCAGTCACAGAAAGAAAAAAGATGCAAGGTCATGCAAGCGTTTTTATGTAATATTGTCTAGGTAAACGCAGTTTGAAGCTTTAGTTGAAATAGTGTTTCATGATAGCGACATCGAAGCAAGAGATTCACGTACTGGAATATTTTTGTATAGCATCTATCGTAACAGAGTAGCGACATTTTCGAACGAACTCCATTAAATGTGCACTTCAGAGAAATTGTATTTCTCACTGTGTGAAGCATCTTGAATCTACTGGCTGTTTGTGCCACGCAAAGAGATCAGGAAGCCCTCAGGTGTTGTGTCTGAAGAGACAATGAACAAAATTGGAGCCGTGCTTCCAAAAGGAGCCCAGGACTATATTCGAATAACTTCATGGAAGTTGACAAGAGAAGCTAGGAGGAACGTGAAATTGACTCATCCCACAGTACGGCATATATTTTTACAAAAGATCTGCGTTGTATCCCATATAAGTTACTCCTGCAAAAATTAGCATCGGATGACAAACTTTTACACTGAAATGCAGGAATGATAAAATTATGACGGATTCCATGAAAAGGTAGTCTTTAATGACACGTATCCCATTTCAATGGAAATATCAATTGCCATAACGTGAGTGCACGAGGATAGGAAAACAACACATCATAGTCGAGCGCAAGAGGAACGCACCAAAAGTGACTATGTTTGACGCAGTGGAGAAGACAAAGTTTTGTAATTCTTGTTTCTGAACTTAGGTTGCCACTATTAGCTGTATGTGATATCAGAACGATTTATGCCATTTTTGGAGGAAGGATATGGCCCTGATGCAGTTTTTCAATAGGATGATCTCTTTCTCAGCCTCACTTGAATATTTTTTCCTATATGAATGTCACTTTACCGAGATGTGACATCTAACTTAAAAAAAGAAAAACATATTTGTCAGTGTTACTCTGCTGTTAATATCAAATTTAACACTCTACTTCCTTTATGGAAGGACATCGAGGACAATGTGTATTATGCTACGAAGCACTTATGCTACGAAACCTTAACGAACAATAATATATTTCTGAAACAGATTATACGAATACTCTATTAACTTTGAAATATCAAATTACTAAAAGAAATCGTGAGATCACTTTTCGTCCCATCTGCCTTTTTATTAGTAATAATAGTACAAACCAAGGTAGAAGTTTAAAAAAATTATTTATTCACAAACGCTGGCTTGATGATTAGAAAACTGTAAATTTAGCAGGAACAATAAAACCCAGTAGAAACACGTGTTCAAATTGATCAAAAACAGAGTACAAAACAAATAAGTCTAGATTAAACTTTGGTCCACCCCTAACTGAACGTTTACGAATGAATATTGGCTAGAAAAAAACTTTTACCGGCAAGTTAAATTGCAACAGCAGAAACAGAGTATGACCAATCTGATGCTGTCAAATACATTCTAGGAGATTTAGCAACTAGAAACTTATTTATGCTTATTTACATTCAAGTAGAAGTTGAGGAAAGTAGAAGTTATAGAAAAGCCATAATAAACCATATACAAGCTGATACCCTTGAAACGCCTTTCAGGAAGGCACTCTACAGAAATTTTCCCTCGTGTGCTTTCCTATTATTTAAACAGTTTTAAATCTTAGAACGTGTTTGATTATAACTTGAGTACCCTTTGTTGCGTCAACCAGCGGCATCCCCATCAAACTCTTGTTATAGCGATATAAATAAGTTGGATACTGGTTTTTTTTATGATATTATTTCATGATAACATAGTTGCATTGCGTCATTTCATATAGGAATAAATAAAATTTGATTTTTCCCCATTACATCTAAATAAGTATTTTGGTACTGGACTTGTACTAAAATACTTATTTAGAATAATAATACTTAGAACTTTCATTTATATTATTTTTAAATCCCAAGTATTTATAAGTATGATTGCATCAATAATACAACATAAGATATTATTGATTTTTTTGACATATTGCAGATGTCCTACTCCTGGATGTGATGGTTCTGGCCACGTTACTGGAAATTATTCATCACATCGCAGTCTATCAGGCTGTCCTAGGGCGAATAAACCCAAGAAAATGGTAAACAGAGAAGACAAAAATGATTCTGAACCACTCAGGTGAGGGTCAAACACGCACTTCTTATTAAAACAAAATATAGTTTTACATAAATTGAGAACATATTTTAAAGACAAATTCAGAAGTAATTTCAATGCTGATTTAAAAAGTATTTAAAATACATCTTTTTATCTTTATGTAGTAAGCTTTCAACTTCTTTTCTTTGTTTCTAATTTAGCTCATAATACAATATTATCCTACATGTAATGCTTGGTTTCATAGAAGCTTTTCTAATGATAAAATATTTGAAAATAAAATTAAATTTACATAAAAATGCATATATAGAATAACCTAATGTTAGTAATAAAAACAGTGAAATATGGTCATTTCTTATAACAAAAAAAATAGTTTGGATGAAACATTTTTTTCACAGTTTTCCCTACAGCGCTGAATGACTGAAGATGAAGTTGACATCTGCATACATTATAAATGGTTTTTTAGAGGTTTGAAAGTCATTGCTGTTGTTACCTCAACAGTTCAAGCAAGAACTTCATTCATTCAATAGTAATTCGTCATGGGTAGATACGTTCAGAAATCTTCATGATACTTTACACATTCTGAAGTTTTATCTAAACACCCAAGTTCCTTCAAGTCTAAAACTCATTTCTTTTAATTTAAGAAAAAGGCAGAAGTATGAAATTTTTTAACAGTTCGGTTCATTCTTTTGTAAAATGTTCTTATTTTTCATGCTTAAAATCAAAAGAACATCTTCTACAAAATAAACAATAAAAAAAATCTGAAAAGTTCGGATTTAGGAAGTGTCACCCAAAAGGGCTTGTTTAGCTTTTTATGCTCTCGATGAGCTCGCAGTCTACCAGTTTGCTGTTACTCACTTCTACTAATCCTTTTTTTGTTTTGTTTTGTTTTGTTTTTTAGATTTATTATTAAGAATTATTTTCTTCCCACTTACGCCATATACAGTTCAAGAGTAAAATTAACAAAAATTTTAAAAGCAGCATAACATTATTCGTTTAGAATTCCCGATGCGCCGTTAAGTGTTGGCATATATTTTTCTGTTTCCACCCCATTCTTTTCTCGATTCATCATATCAATGTTCAGTTTTCTTATTAAGATGGATTGACAAAACTTCTTTTTGTCTTCTTATTATTAACATCTTAACTTTATTTATTAAATATCCCTTTCTTGGCGCTTACGCCACATAAAATTCGATTCAATAGCAAAATCAAAAAATATTTAAAAACAGCATATCTTTAGAATTTCCGACAAACGGTTTCATGCGCTGGAGATATAAGCATTTTTCCTGTACAGTGTTGTCACTGTTTGCTTTGAAATCGTTGAGTTTGTTGATCAAAAATTCGTTAAGAGTGTTACAGTATATGAAATAGATAATAAAACAAATTCGAAATTCAAAATTTGGGCTTCCAGGTGCCCATGATCGGGTGAAGGACTACATTATTCAAAAATGGTAGCTCTATATACGTTTTTTTTCGCAGCGCGAGCAAAGCCTCAATTCCTGCAGAGGCTTTAATTTCTTCTTTAATAATACCGAGAAAATTTTTTGAACATTTGCACAATTAAAAAGTGCTTCAACGAAAATGTTGTTAGGAATTATAGGCTGGGCTAACGCCCGTTTACTAAAATCGACTTCCTTTCGCAGAAAATCATTTTTTCCTTTCCCTCGAAAACATATTCCTTTTTACGTTGAAAAGTGGTAGTTGTTATAGTGCTCAACGCTGCCCCTTGGCTATAGCTCATTCGGGACTCAAATGCAAAATGCATTGGGTTGAAAATGAAAAGACGCACTCTCCCATTCTTAAATCTTTGCCCTTTTTTACTCTTTTCTTTACTTTTTTTATATGCTTTTGCCCTAATCCCCCCCCGTTCAGCAGTTTCAGGCTTATAAGTTCTAAATTCAAATTCTTAAATTTCAAAATTTTACGGATTTGTGCCACTATAATATGAGAGCGCTGCGTGTTTTTTTATCAGGATTAGTGAACACTGCCCCCTTTTAGTCCCGCGTCTCAACTTGTTAATTACTTTTTCTCCAAAGGCAGATTAAAGTTTGAAATGACAGAGTTTACTTTTCCCAATAGAGAGCTTACTTGCCCCAATTTCAGATTTCTTATTTTTTTCCCCTGTTCTTAATGAAGATAGCTAAGGAGTTTGTTCCCCTCTACAATTACGACTCAATTTAAGGTTTTTAAACCCCTTTATAAAATAAACCAGCGAGAAATTCGATGCATACCTCGAAATTGAACAAAAATATTTACGCTCTTCGTGTGACACACAACATCGGCCTTTCCCTATAAGAACTTTCAACGAACAGAAGCCAAAGCGAAAACACCTGGAGATCTAACTAGCACTAGGAAACTGAACTAACAAACGGAAATTGCCTCTTGGATTTATATAGAATTTTTTCTAGGCTGCTAAGTAAACTCTATATTTCCATTCTCGAAATTACTGGAAGCAATACGGTTATTTCTTAGGGCCTACGTTCCTATACAGGTCGTTAAATACCAATTAAAGTTATATAAGGATCGGACACAAATGTCGCCAAATAATATTTAATAATTTCATCCTTCAGAACTGCTGTAAACAGACGTTATTTTTCCTAAAATCTAAATTTTTCAATTCTCCCGAAGTATGGATCAATTTATAGGAATCTTGTTATATTCTATTTGAGCTTATATGTATGTTATAAATATGTTACCATTAGGTAAGTTAATTGTTATTTGAATATTTTTGGATGGCCAAAAACCACCGTCTTCCGTTAGTATTATGCTCACATGATTTTCTGACTTATCAGTTAATGTACCGTAATTTCTACTTTTTCTTGAAAGCTCAAGCTATGGTTCTTGTTTGACATGAAATTTTGAGACATCAGGTTAATTACATAAGTAGTATTAGATTAATGACATCAGCATCATTATATATACGTATGTAGTTGCGAACGTACGGGTTCATAATACATTGAATGCACATAGAACTAATGATAAATTGATAAAATTTATTTTATCAAAAGAAACATATTACAGTTCTAGAACTTTCCACAAAAATACTCTTACAGCTCTTTTCAGTGTGACACAGCAACATCAGGCACTTTAACTACTAAGAACTTTAAACAGAACAGAATGCAAAAAGCGAAACACACATGGAGATCTAACTCTGAACTAGAAACTGAACTAAAAAAACGGAAATTGCTATCTTTGGATTTATATAGTAATTTTTTCTAGGCTGCTAAGTAAACTCTTAATATATTCCATTTCTCGAAATTACTGGAAGGCATATACGGTTATAGTTACATATAAGGGCCGAATACGGGTTACAGTTACACACAAGGATCAACTACAGTTATTCAGTTACAATACCAATTAAAGTTATATAAGGATCGGACACAAATGTCGCCAAATGATCGCCAAGTTTGCCGACTTTTAGCGACCCAAATTTGACAAAAGATTATTAACCAAAACCAAAGCCAACTTGGCAATATCTCTCAACTTTAGCGATATAGCTATTTATCTCAATGTTAAATAAACTTTCTCTGCCTATTTTAGCGACAGATTTTTGTTCCCTTCAGACTTTGCATATTACATTATACAAAAGCTACTAGAATTTTAAACATAACTTCGCTAAAATTATTTATATATCTACAAAATTTTGTAACAATATATATAGAGAGAAGCTGCTAATTACTCCGTTGTTTCATGAAAAATGAGAACTCAGTTTGGGACGACTACGTAATATTTGAATGCATGCTGGAATTATGCATGTTTGGTTTGCGTGTTTTTGCTCCTGTGTAATGTTAATACGAACACGTTTTCCTCACGACGTCTTCCACGAAGATATCCCTCCTCTTAGATATCCTTCGTGGCTTTGCCGTGTTCAAACAACCTAACCCAACGACCCAACTGTTCTGAAGTTGGAGTTGAAATTTAAAAAGAAAAAAAAAAAAACGAAGTTCCGTTATTTCCACCCTAATTTAGATGCAAAGAGAAAGATCGAACATTACTGAAAAAAGAAAAAGGGATAAACAGTTTTTCATGAAAATTCTTATAGGATACTTATTCCTTCATCTTTAAGGAATAAGTATCCTATAAGAATCAGACATAACGTGAAGGTTGCCGAATACTCGGAGAAATCATGCTTAAGAGATAGGTATTCTTGGTGATGTATCGGCTGGTACTGGTTAAATGGTTAATATAAGAAGTCATTTTCCGCAAGCTTTAACTGAATTCAACAGGTACTTGTAACGTTGCGCGCCTCCAACTTGCACGCAACCAAGGGGTGACTGTGAAAACTGGATAAAACACAGAGTCTTGTAAAGGGTTTAAGTCCCTTTTTATTCAACGTAATAAATTACAATTGCAATGTGCTCTTGACGCTCACAGACTGCGCCAACTCGGCGGTCAAATAAAAATAATAACCTGAAAGAAACTAAAGACAAGACTCTAACTACGAGGCTCTCTAAAATAACTAACTCACCGCGTTTTACAATACCGCTGCTAATTCAGCAGACTTGAAGCTCACTTGAACGATTAACACTACTTTCCGCCAAGCACATAGGCCGAAACGCGGGGTTCTGCAACTTCTCGCTATCTCCGCGCTCGTGAAGTAAGAATATCACACACCGAACTCATTTCCTTCCTATTTAAATCATAATACTTCCGCTGATAATTTGAATCCTTGCGCGTTCTACTAAAATTTACATATTCTGGCATTGGCAGTTCCAGGGGAAAGTAAGGCTTGACAGGAAAGATAGTTTTAAACTTTAAAATAAATGTTAGTTAAAATAAATATAAACCCTACATTTGCCGCTGCCAGAATTTGGAAAACTTGGAAGCAGGTCCTACAAACGACCTGTTGTAAGTTTCCTCAATTCTGAACTAACTGGCGAGAACCTCGTTTACACAAAAAAAATCTTATGTAACAAATTGTATACTAAAATTCTGTTGATCGTTAAAGCTCTCTCTTCTTACAGCAACTTTTCCTGGACTTCATCAATCAATCTTGGTCTTTTCCTTCCAGCATCTGGAAGGAATAA